AACAAAATTGAACATTTAGCCACAAGAATGAAAATCTAATTGAATTCAAGAGATCCTCACGGCGAGCACACTCAGCTTTTGTCACAGTTTTGTTGCCACCGAGCTCCCTTTATGTCAATCTAACAGGATTTTAACCTTTCACTGCGAGCACGCCTTTCAAAAGAGTTCGGGACAAGACAGTTGATGTGAGTTAAGTGCACGACATGCTGCCAGGGAAAAAAAAAAAAAAAAAGTAAGGAGAGAGGCGGCGTTGGGGTTTATTTGGTCCAGTTCACACACACAGTGCATAATGGATATTTAACAGCCCCGGCCTGCTGGAAGTGTGCTGTGTCCTGAAATGGCGCTGGGGACATCTGAGGGAGTGTGTGACTGCCAGGATGACACACCCATTAAAACACACTTAGGTTCATTTCGCTGCTACAGTTCTGCCCTGGATTCATGCCAAAATAATGAACACAACAATACACATATGCTTTCCTCGTGTTAATGGACTTTGCAGTGAACTCATAGCATATTCCAAGAATATACTACTACTATAGACTGGAAATAAGGATGATGGTGTTTTAGGTGTTCTGATGTGCATCTTCATCACAGTTAAATCTGGGGTAACAGTAGCAACCATGTTTCCCAGCTGCGCCTTTGGCAGGTGGAGCATCTCATCCTCTTCCCTGCTCTGAGCCCATCTTGAATAATTGAAACAAGAGAGGCGCCTCGTTTTGTCTGGTATCATCACGATAGACACCCATGACTCCAATCTGAGAGATCAACTCTTCTCCCGAACACAAAGCAGAAAAGTTGTTTAATTGCAGCCCTCTCACTGGATCACGCGAAGGTAATTGTAGGTCAGCGGTCTCAACATAGCTTATGTGGATGCAGAGGGAAAGAGCTGCTGCTGAGTTCTCACAATAGAAGGCGAGGCAGGCGCTAAGAAGTAAGAGCTACCTGAGCCGTGGTGTCAGGAGGACTCTTGCGCTCGTAGCCATCAGCTGCGATGCCTCCAGAGTCCCTCTAATGATTCTCTCATCATCATGCTGCACTCAGCTTTCTCCAGCAGAACTCTGCAGCGCGGACACACCGCGTATGCAATGGGATGTAATGGGACATATTCAGCTTCAGCAGTAGATCTTTGAAGCTTAAGTAACTTAATTTTGAGTCTTGCCACCTTAGCACATACATGGTATTCAGGGAATTTCCTGACAATATAATATAATGTCCTGTTCATCGTATCATCATAATCATAGCTTGCCAATTTAGATTTTGTGCCTCAGGGTCTCTATGTAGGTCGCTGTCCATTATCATCCTCTGCTGCACCCATAGACTGGAAATAAAGATGGACGTAGCCTCAGTCATGTCACCCATAGGTTTCTGCAGAGCGGTTTTGAAGTTCAGAGTAGGCTGCTCTGCTGCCGCCAACTTGGCAGCACCTGACTCGCTTTTGAAGGCAGCCGCAAGTGGCCATTTGAGGAACTGTAGTTTTTTGCAGTCAGCTGTAATAATCTCAAGTCTAATATTTCTAATATCTAATATCTGATTGTCGTCTCATTGACCACCTTGCATGTTGCTGTAGAAAGACGTTCTTAACATCTGACATCATCCAATCACACAATGTTTTTGTTTGCTGATTTTTCTGACAGAAGATTTGAAGATCCACAGTGTGAAGTTCTTTTTACTTCTTCTATGACAATTCTTGTGAATGAACCTTTCCTACGAACGAAGCCTTATAGGGACATTTTAGGGGATTATGCTAATGGTCAAATCTCACAAATGCACAACCTCCTCATGCACAGGTTGGTGTTCATCAGTGTGTATTGAGCAAGTTACGCCAAGTTCAATGAGTTTGGGGAATCCAACTTGGAACACTCATAAGAACAGGCGTCACGGAAAAAAAGTATGAGAAATTTAGGACGAGAATGCGAAAATGTTCCGGCATGACGTCCAATGGCTCGCGCAGTGTATGACAGATAGACTATAATCAGATAATCTATAGACTACATTATCGCGATATGTATAGGGAAGATCAGAGTTTGCCATTAAATAGAAGATGTAGAGACCCGCAGGTTAGATTTATCCGGCTTTGGTCTGGTTTGTTCCTGTCCGTCAAACTGTTAAAACAAAAGATTTCCATCACAAACAGAGAGACGTGGCACATGTTTTTAAAATTTATGATTAATATAGTTGATATAAAAATTGCAACAACTAACCATTTCATAACTAAAGCTAATTTGTTCATATACTCCATGCAGTGAAGCCTATTTGGCTTGTTACACTGTTTAAATAGAAGAAAAACAGCTCAAAATGTCAAAATAACTGATAATTGCCTTCCGCATTAAACCACAATGAGTTGAAAAATTGCACAGAACAGGCCACGGTGGATGGATATGTTAATTTCAGTTTTCAAGTGTGCACAAAGAGGTATTGACTCGCTGAATCCCAGATGAGGCCGACTCCTGGTGCGAGTGATCGATGTGTGTGTGGTCATTGAACTGAGTTTAGAGGTAGTTTGTATTCTATTAGGCATCTCCAGGGCTTTGCAGCAGTAGAACAAAAGCACACGCTGATGCCTAATTGCTGGCAAAGAAAAGACCAATGCCATTGTTACATCTGTAGGGTGCTGCTGCCGCCTGTTCATGGGCTTTTTCTCCCTCAGTCAGTCGCTGTCGTACAGTTGTGTACAGTTGCCAATCCTGTTGCGGCTGAGCCCCGTACATAAATCTGCTCTATCAGCTTTCATTGCTGCTAATAAGCCTCCTGCATATGCAAGTTTAGCTATCAATGTCAGGAAAGGCTTTGTGATGTCTTTGTTTTATCTATGTTGGGGACGGAGAAACACTCCACAGACCATTTATTAATAAGATTAATGGTTATACATCAGTTTACTGTATGACTTTCTATCCTTAGTCTCTGACAGCCAGTGGGAAGTGACATATGATTAACACTTAACATAATCTAACCCAACACCTTGGACCTGTAAATCTCACCTCTTCTGCTTAGTGTCAGAAAGGTTGACTCAACTCTGTGTGTGTGTGTGGGTGGGTGGCTAAGATGTACATCTAGCAATGCATCCTTACAAATGTATAAAATAATGTCTCAAACGTTACATTAGAGCTCAGTCAGCACATCTCCGACCCTCACAAACTGAACATCATATGTTTCTCAAAGGTCATATTTCTTGTTGGTACCGAATGGATTGCATTAGATTCTACAAGTGTACATCAGACAGATATTGTGTCCGCTCACTGCATCCCTCTCTACACAACTCACCGCTCCTCTTCCCTTGTTATTACCCCTCAGCCAAAGAGGTTATATTTTCACCCGTGTGTGTTTTATCGGTTTGTTTATTTGTCAGCAGGATTACGCAAAAAGTCCTGAGCCGATTTGCACTGAACCTGGTGGAGGGATGGGGCACGGGTCAGGGACAAACCCATTCAATTTTGGGATAGATCCAGATCATTCACTATGAATTTAAGCTTTTTTTCTCTGAAGTCTGGTGTATGTTGTTTGACAATGGCCTTGGCGGAGGTCCGCACTCTCTGAGTGCCCTTCGAGTTTAAAGTAGCTTTCAAGTGATCAAGCCATCAAAGAGTTGTTTACAAGAAAGATTCAACAAAACCTTGTGAGCTCTAGTCTGGTCCTCATCTCTCTATCATTCATAATGCTCATGTCTTGTTGTATTGTTGGTTTATATAACCACCGCTTTTAAAGAAGGTTCTCGAAACTGGTTTGTGACCATGGAAGGGAAGGTCACCAAGTTCAAGTTCTTCTGCCAGCAGAGAAACTGAATCAGTTTCCAAACCATCAACACCCACCACCAAGATGCCAATGAGCCATGTAAAGTAGCTTTTGTCACCCTTTACTGGGAACCAGATAATATCAATTCATTGACATTAATTGCTCTGTTGGTTTCTTCCTGTTTCCTCCCCACTGTCGCCAAGTGCTATCTCTTTGTATAAGCTGTTGGGTTTCTTTCTATACTATATCTCTCTATACTAATGTAAGGTCTTGACCTTACAATGTAAAGGGCCTTTAGATGATGTATGTTATGATTTCCCACTATACAAATAAAATTGATTCATTGAAATTGAATTGAATTGTAATAACTAATAATTGAAGTTTTGTATCAAGCAAATTGTTTGGACAATAGAAAGTGGACATTTCCTGAATTCTTTTTAAATCTTCAACAATAAATAGTTGATTGATTAATCAAAAAATAATTGATAAATTAATAAAAGTAAACCTAATATCAAGGTTCTATCTATAAATATCCATTTTATACTGTATTATGTCTTTTTCTCTTTCTCATCTTCTGCTTTTTATCTCCTTTTTTTTTTTTTCTTCTTCTATGGACCATAAATCTGAAATAAAGTGACCTGAATTGAAAATGTAATTTACTTCCCTCCCTTGAGTCTGTAATCTCCTAACAGAAAAAGTCACATTTAAACAACAGAGAGGAGTAAGCTGGCTGTAAAGCAGGCAGAAGAATCTCTATTTTGACTATTGAGAGCATAAGAACGTAACGAGGCGCTGGCGATCAACCATAGCATCAACCTTCATTACTGAACAGCTAAAAATACCAGTAGGGGTGGGTGCATTGAACAAATCCAGCTACCAATTATATATTTTCATTGTTATTAGTGAAGAAACACATTTGATTCACATCAGTAATCCATTGTTGAGCACATCAATATCCTTTATGTCCTGTAGCGCCTTCAGTTTTTTCTCTCGTGATTTGCCAATCAGTGGATTTGGTCCACCTCCCTCCCAGGCTCATTATCTTCCCCTCTCTCTATCACACACCATTAGAAATCTGTTGAAGATAAATTATGATCCTAGTGGAAGATAATCACGTCATACATGGTCATGTGGTCCCTAAAATTAATTCCCCCCCTCCGCAATCTGTTGACGCTCGATAATAAGGCAAATTGTACACGTGCAGCACTTCAGGCTGACAGCATTCAAAGTAATGTGTCGTTTCTCATGTTCCTCTCTTGCAGATCCCAGTAGTGAGAGGGTGTGCAGCATGAGGCTGGTGTGGAAATCCCTGGACAAGATGAGGTGTCTGAGGAAACGCTCAACCATCCCCTTCCTCGGCTTCCTCATCACCTTCCTCCTCTTCCTGAACCTCTACATCGAAGACGGCTACGTGCTGGTCAGTGAATTGTGTTGTGTGCACGTCCTAACTGCTATTAGCAAGCATTTGCCAAAATTAGAAATTTAGATGAAGTGCTCTCTTAGTATTTGTAGACCTTCTCCATGAATGAAAAGCAAATTAGACCAAATGTGCTTCTAACTGTGTTCTCGTGTTTGTTCACTTCACCCATGTTGTCCCTTTTATAATTGCTTGTTTTTAAAGGAAACATGTTTAAATTTTCATAACATGGACCCAAGTTGAAATCATCCAGATGATTTATTTCTTATTCATGATAGCATCAAAACTTGGTGAACACAGTACATTATCTGTGTTTGTTATTTAAATTATTAAGAGGGGAGTTCACATTTTCAGCTCTCTGGTTGCTCTTCTCAAGTCCATTTACTCGGCTGTGTAAACCGCCTGGAGGGGGTTTTAAGATTCCTTTTGTCTCCAAACGTCGAGGGTTAGCTCAGCCGCATCAAAACACATATTGTCAAGTTTGTACAAGATGTTAATGACAACTTTAAGAAAACAAAAGTCTTGGTTTTCCCTTCATCTGAATTATTCACAGTAGAAATTGAAATTTTCAGGACGATTTTTATGACAGCTTGTTTTTTTTTTTTTTTACCCCTCTGTGTCTTGTTCATAATGTGGAGTAATGTTGTGTTTCTCATGTTGTCTTCCAGGAGGAGGATAAAAGGCAGCTCAGGGAAACATCAGTCCACCCTCCGAGCTCGGAGCGATACGTTCACACCTTCAGAGACCTCAGTAATTTCTCTGGAACCATTAATGTCACGTATCGTTATCTCGCTGGAACCCCGCTGAACCGCAAGAGTAAGTTTAGTGTTTCTTTATAGAGGAATTTACATTGACAATTTTTTTTTTTTTGCATGAGCTCAGGGGAGTTACGTGAAGTCACACGAGTGAGAATAAGAACTAAAACTTAAAATGTATGATGTTGGGATTTAGAGCACGACCATAAAATGTAACTACTCCGTAGAGACTTTTTTTTTGTACCTCAAAAATTAAACACTTTGCACAACTCTCCTCCAGTGCACCATGTTTTATCCACTAAATGTTTCAATTCCAGCTGAAATATACCTGACAGACAAATGTGTTTAAGAATATAAATTAATATAAATTGATCACTTGTATTCCAATGGATTAACATAATATTCTTTATTTAAGTTTATGTTCTGGGGAACAGCCTTGAGTTTAAAATGAGGAAACTTCTTGAAACCTTAATTGAATCTTTACAGTTTTCTTAAAGGTCCCATATTGTATAAAGTGAGATTTCCATGTGTTGTTTGATTATAAAGCAGCACTGTAACTTTGTGATGTCACAACAAAGCAGTCCTGGACCCACCATCCAACCGTGCAGAATTTAGTATCTCTGAGTGTTTACCCAAAACCTATCTATAATATTTTTATTTGATTACTCAAAACCAGTCAGCCAATAAGAAGAGAGGCTCGGAACCTCCCCTCCTCTGATTGGCTCACTGTCCTGTTGTTACTAGAGCTCCAGAGAGAAGCCTGAGAGAGGAGATGTAAAACTACGTTGAGATGGTTTTTGGTTCTTAAAACCACAAATATATTTTCTTATGAATCAACACTTGTGTAAAATATGGGACCTTTAAAATGTGTGTTTTCTGCAAGCATTTAATTTACATTTGCATTCGTGGTAATATGAAATATATTTTCTTCACAGAGTATCTTACCATTGGACTGTCATCAGTCAAAAGAAAAAGAGGGAACTACCTTCTGGAGACTATCAAATCCATCTTTGATCAGTCAAGTTACGAGGAACTGAAAGAGATTGTGGTTGTGGTCCACCTGGCAGACTTTGACCTGGTCTGGTGTGAGAACCTGGTGCAGGAAATCACCAGGAAGTTTGCCCATCACATCATAGCTGGACGCCTCCTGGTGATCCAGGCTCCAGAGGAGTATTACCCGTCTCTAGACGGGTTGAAAAGGAACTACAACGACCCGGAGGACCGGGTCCGTTTCCGCTCTAAGCAGAACGTTGACTACGCTTTCCTCCTCAACTTCTGCACAAACCTCTCGCACTTCTACATGATGTTGGAGGACGACGTGCGCTGCTCCAGGAACTTCCTGACGGCACTGAAGAAGGTGATCACCTCCAGAGAAGGCTCCTACTGGGTGATGCTGGAGTTTTCCAAGCTGGGCTACATCGGGAAGCTGTACCACTCCAAAGACCTGCCACGCCTGGCTCATTTCCTCCTCATGTTCTACCAGGAAATGCCCTGCGACTGGCTCCTCATCCACTTCAGGGGTCTGCTGGCCCAGAAAGACGTGATCCGCTTCAAGCCCTCACTGTTCCAGCACATGGGCTACTACTCATCTTACAAAGGAGCAGAGAACAAACTGAAGGACGACGACTTCGAGGAAGACTCCATAGACATTCCTGACAACCCTCCTGCCGGCCTTTACACAAACATCAACGTCTTTGAAAACTATGACGCCGCCAAGGCTTACAGCACAGTGGACGAATACTTTTGGGGGAAGCCTCCTTCCACTGGAGATTTCTTTGTCATAGTGTTTAACAAATCGACCAAAATTAGCAAAATTAAGATTGCTACAGGTTCTGACGACCGGCAAAATGACATTCTTCACCACGGAGCTCTAGAAGTTGGAGAGAAACTGGTTGGGACTAAGAAAGGAAAACAGTGTTCATCCTATATCACTTTAGGGGAGTTTAAAAATGGCAACATTGAGGTTCAAGATGTCGACCACAAGATTGCCTTCGAAATCGAGTGTGTACGCATCGTAGTGACAGCCAGTCAGAAAGAATGGCTCATTATTAGAAGTATAAGTTTATGGACTACACAACCTCCCAGCCAATGAGGACTGTACACAAAGACTCTTAGTATGTCATAGAGGCAAAGGTTTTTATTATAATTATTATTATTATTTGTTAATGTATGTATACCCGGGTTTATTTATTCATTTTGTATGTATTTATTGATACTCATTTTGATTGCCAAATCAATCTATAGTTTTTTATACCTGCAAGTTGTAACCTTAGTGGAGCATCTTCCCAGTCATTCTTAAGGACTGTTCAAATAACCTCAGAGTTTTCATGAGCGAGTGTTTTCTTCAGTTTTCCATAGGCCTGTATTGTTTTCAGTTTTTGATAGCTATCCTTAACATAGGGCTGGGTGATGATTCAGTTTTATCTTTTATCTTTTTCTGTCCAGGATGAGGCCTACAATATTATCTTTTGTTTACCGTCAACAAATCTTATGAAAAGACCAAAATCCAAGTATTGCCATGAACCCAAAGTCTGATATATCGTATTCCTCTGTGACATGGAACTCCACCGTTGCATTGGGTGACATGAATATCCACACGCTGAAGTTTATTTTTAGTCAACCCCACACACGGCATCCTGCTGAGGTAAATATTCACTAGAACACCAAATGTGTGTTAATCCACTGCTGAAAATAGTCCCCCAACGAATTGTAGCACTGTTTACTCCAGTTTTTGGTAATGTTTGCTAAAAATTTGGTGCTAAGCTGTTTCAGTAAATCACTTATCCATACAAATGAAACAATATATTTATGACCCATTTTTAAAGATGTACAGTATGTCGTAACTAGCAGCTTGGGGCTGACTGCCACAGACAGTATTGAGGAATGGACCGACACAGTTTGGTTTTGGCTTTTTTCATGGTGATTTGCTGACAGTAACAATTATATAGAGTCACGCCAGCATTATGTATCAGTGGTTCATTCAAAACTAAGACGTCAATGAAGGTCTTGTTTGACATATTTAGTCCAGTGTAAAGAACAACAGTAAAGAACATTGCATTGAACATTAACTTCACTTTTTTACACTTTATTTTGCACAAATCTGTCACATCATGATATATCAGTATCAATACATCAATGGCAATATCATGAAATTCATTCACCCAGCCCTAACTTGACGACATATTACACATGTAAGTCATTATAGTGGGTGATGCAATTAACTATCACTTATGAATGCTTTTGAAGGCTCTTCAGAAAGTTGCTGTAAGGGAGGAATGAGGAATGAGGAACAGCATAGTACTGATTTATTACCGTTCAATTGTTAATTTCATTACAATTGAAGAGGTTCAATTAAATCATTTGAACCACTAATTACTTATGAATGAGGGGACAGGATAGCTGTTATGAAGTGTAGCTAAATCTTCTCCTTGAAACTACTGTCCAATTAAAGCTATTGTGTCTTCAGCAACTTTTCATGACTGATATTAAGCCTGTAAAACTGTAGCCCTGGGATTTCTCTCTGAGAATGTTCCCATTTGGCCCTTAATTATTTTTCCCCTTGTAAATGATCAGAGGTCAATGTTGCCTTGAATATTCGTCATGTCACGCCCAACTTTTTTTTTTTCCTGTTTCAAATATTCCTTCCCGGTGTAATTATCTTCTCCGTTGTGGTTGAGGTGGGCGTCATGAGTGGGCTGAGCTCTTTTACTAGCACTGTATGTTCTGTCCAGGCTGCTGACAGGAGAACAATGTTTGTTTTCACCCATCTTCTCCAAGAGCTGAGATTAGATTGCACAGTGAAGAATGGGGCCAGGTCTGCTCTTAGGTCTCTTTTTTTTTCCTCTCTCTCCACCACAGCACAATTTTCCCCTAGTAAATTGGTCTGTGTTTGCCTCACTCTCTACACCAGCAAAACAACATCTCCCCTGGAGCTATAGGATCTCAATTCGTTCTTTCCCCAGTGTTGCGTTCTCACAACTCTGATGTTACTGCTCCTACATGGTTGCCTCTTTGTGATCTTTGCCCCTGGTTCATACAGTCTGCCGCCGCCGCCGCCGCCGCCGCCACTGCTGCTTCTGGGGGAAAATTTTCCTTGGCTCTCCTTTTCAAATTCCCCACCTTACTCTGTTTTTATTAAACAGGCTAACATTTGCAGGAATTAATGCTGCACATGTGAACTCGCCATCGCCGTGTTGCTCAAAGCGAGTCAGAAACGTGCTTCGAAAAACAAACTCGTCATTCCCCACGTTCATGTAATTACAATCTGCCGGTGAGCAGCGTTCAGTCTCCCGACAATGCAATAAAGAGGTAAATGTTTACATAACGCTGACATTCTTTAGGAACAAGAGGTGGAAACAGATCGTCGTCATTGAGCATGCGACGGCGGTTTTGTGGAGCTTTGTTGCCACCTGTTCCGGGTCCCCCCTCCCCCCGAGGTCTTGTCCGGTGTCACAGATCGAGACCCTGCACAGATTGGCTTGTAGCACCATCTTCGAAATCCTTCCTCAGCGAATCTCCCCTGTGCTATCTGAAATGAAATTAGAATGCCCACCACCCTCACAATGTGGCTTATTGTTTTTCCTCGGCATTTCCCTGGGAATGCGGCTATTCATTTTGGTGAATGATTCTGTGACCTGCATGGGATCAGCTCCTCGGAGGGGATCTTTTGCCTTGAATGGATGACGCTCGGGGAAAAAAAAAAAAACACAATCTGCATTGTGCTGCGTGTGTGGTATTCTTTATGACGCACGCTGTGGTGCCAATTCTGCCCCAGTATTACCTGCTTATGAGCTATAAACACATGATGTCACCGCAGGGCAGTTAGCTGTTTTACAAGTGTAATGGATGGCTTTTGATACGCCTCACGGCCGAGCCGAGCAAACTGTGTGTTGTGAGTCGGCTGATATTTCTGGAGGAGAAAATCGCTGTCTTGATCTTTATTTGAAATAAGACGCCAGCCAAAACTTGCTGCACGCTGCAGATTTATGGACAGATTTATATCTTGGGGATAACAACAACAGCTGCATAAATTCTTAGCTATTGGCAGCATGCGTGGAAAACCTTGAGTGAACAGTGTGCACAGGATCGGTTCCACATTTCACTTTAAAAAAACTCTTCTTACAACCGTTTTCACCGTCCATTTGTCAAGAATCAAAAACACACTGCATTAACAGATCCCTGTGAGGAAAAAGGGGGAGATGATTTGTTGGTCACTTGAAGGCAGGTAAATGTCTAAAGTTTGTTTAATTATATTGGCTGTGGGGGTCAAAGTTCAAGTGATAAATGTGAATATGATCTGTGGGTCCTGAGTTCTTTGAAATGTGAGCTGTCTTCTAGTGGAGCATGTACAAAGTGCATGAACAAAACTCCTTTTTTTTTGTACATCAGGATCTATGAATTAATTGTTCAGCTTCTGCTAATGAAATTGTACCTGGGTTCGTACGTAGAAACCTACCGATACTACCTTACTTAACAGGTTCGGGGTTCACATGTGCTGTAATATTGTTAAGTGGAGCGAGTGTGTTACGATGTTGTTCCTGTTGTCCGTTTTACTTTCCATCGTTCTCTAAATGGTACTGTACTGTAAGATGACATATATTTTTTTACATGTATCATTTCAAATGTATTGTATATATTGTACTTAAAAATGAAATTAGATTAAACGAATGAATGCCCTGAACTGCGCAGTGCATTGACTGCTGAGACAGAGCTGTGTGTGCAAAGGCAACTCAAGGGAGCACGAAATATTGAGTAAGTGTCTGCGGTGTCAAGGGCTTGAATACTGGCTTGAAAGCCTTGAGGAAAACAAAACGCTATTTACATGACCCCCCCCCCCAATCAAAAAATGCCATCCCCGTTGTCTTCGCCTCAACGTTGTTTTTTGTTTCATTGTTGAAAATGTTTGTCAGTGTATGCAGAACATTCAGTTAAAGCATGCATTTTAAAAGAAGAGATAACTGGCATTTGCTGCTCCTTGAAACTTGCAAGCCTGTTTGACTCAGATCTTGCTGTAGCCAAAAGCAAAAGCCATACATTATTCATTTCAATATTCATATGCTTTCTGCTTTTTTTTTTTTTTTTCTTAACTGCATACTTAATGAAGGTGTGGGGATGATGCTTAGGGGGATACTATACTGTTTAAAGCTTCACGCTATTTGTGTATTTGTCAAGAGGGGTCATAGATTTTCTTATATTAAGTGCGTTGTCAGATGCCTGGGAACATGGCTGTCGAGGAAAACAGGCGATTCTGGAGGAAACAGGAGTGTTGGTGATAAAGCAGGTTATTCAATGCAAGTTGTGGTAGAAATAAATAAAGAGTTATCAAGTGGAGGCCACAGCCAACTTAATATCTTTATGGCAAGACAGTCCTTGTATTTACCCCCACTGATGAAAATCAAGTGTTTAACCTTGTTAACATGTCCGTATGATGTTTGTTTATATAATACAGGACATACGACTGTGTATTTCCACTGCTTCTTTCCACCAATTCTTAATATGGCTCTTAATGTAATAGTAAATGACATGTTGTATGTAACAAAATAAGATCTAATTAAAGGGCCACTTACTAGCTTTTTGGTACTTTTAACTGCATTCAGCAGTCTACGTATACAGCAGATGGACGTAAGGAGCTGCTTAGATAGATCACGCACGCTGAGCATGTGCAGCGGGCGTCTACTCTGCGGTTTACTATGAATGAGGAGCAGCAAAGGGTGTTGTAGTTGTAGTTGCTGGCAAAGACAACAGGTCAAGGTCAGCAACACTTGTGCCGAGGCTGATAAAACTGTACTGTTCCTGCACGTCCAGACCGCAGTGCAAACCCAGAGTGTTCAAACTAAAACGGATCCAGCGGTGTTTCCAAGAGTCTCCGTTTTAGAGGCTTGAAAACGCTAGAGTGGATTTAGCCTCAGTTCAGCAGCAATCCACTCCACAAAAATACATATGTAAAAAATCTGTATAAAATATATAATAAATAATCATAGATAAAAAATACTGTAAACATCAAGAGAATGTTTACCCCCCCCCCAGTGCTGTCTCAGTGATCTTACATCAGCTGTTGAATCATCAACATTTCACAAAACTAAAAGTGAGACA